GTAAAACTATATTCAAAATTATAAATTTAATATACCAAATTTCTTAATTAACTTATTTTGCAACATCTTTAATTATTTCATATCTACACTATATACATATAAGGTTGTATTTGCCACTTATTTTATATATAAAATAGCTTGATAAATTAATAAATATCTTCTTTTATTTTATATAATAAAAAATCTATTATAATAATTAAATTTTTTATTTATAATATTATATTATTTTTTATTTAAAATTTTTATTTTACTTCAATTTTATGATTTAAATTTAAACAAATACATTTAATAAATTATTTGGAAGTCATGCTTTTATTTTTATCTCTCTTTTTATTTAAGGATTATTTTCATACTCTTTTATTCTCTTTTTTAGATAAGATTAGAATAAAATTTCTTATCAAGTTAAAATTATATTATGAATATCTTTAATTAGTATAGGCCATTGGAATTTAATTGTATTTCCAACTATCTCAGCAATATAACACCAAATTTAAGATCTATTGATCTTTTGAAACTAAATTTATTCTTATAAAAAGATTTTAAAATGTGGTATAAAACATTTAGATATGATTTTTTTTTTTTTTTTATGTACATTTTTTTTTTTTTTTATCTTTGATAAGTAATCGAGTGTATAAGAGATTTCATCTTAGCAATCTACTCTATGATGGAATTCCATGCTTTCTAAGCACTTGCTTTATGAATCAATAATTTGCCAATTTGTAGCTTCTTTCTTTGAATTAAATTGTAAAATATTTTTATTTTTATTTTTTTATGATAATTATAATATATAAGATTTAATAAAATAGGATTATAAAATCTTCTATTCATATTCTTGTTTAGTTTCCAATAATTATTTTTAATAAATTTTTTTTTGTACATCTTCAATAAATTTAAATTAATAATTTACATGAGTATGTATTTTTTCTTGATTTTCTTAGTCAAAGTCTATTGTCACATTATTATTTTTGACTCAAAATTTTTTCTTTAGAAAAATTCTATTAGCACTTATTATCTAATTTATTAGTTCATCAAATTTATGTTGTATTTAGTATCTTAAAATTAGTATGTAAATTACTTAACCTTAGCTTAATTTTTGAAATTATATTATTAAATATATATATATATTATGAGAAAAAATTTAAAATTATATTATTATAAATAAATTTCACTTCTTGATCAAAATCACAAAATATAATCAATTTAAAGTTGATTTTAATTGGTGGTGTAAAGTGAGAAGCATAATTAACAAGAAATAAGGAAAGAAGAAAAAAAAGAAATCAAGTAAAAGATGAAGAATTGAATAAATATACACTTAAGAAGTTTTCACAATTTATTTAATAGATTTTCACTTAGTTTAAAGCTATAGGAAAATGTAATTCTAATTTATTTAGAATAATTACTGAAGAGTTAAAGATAGAAAAAAATAATAAAAGTTAACTTAATAGATATTACCTCAAAGCAAACTTGCTTAAGTAGTTAAGAATTAAAGCCTCACTAAGTATTATTAGTAGTATATAAGATGTTTTAAAGAAAATATAAGGTTTTATTGTAATTTTATTTCATGTAATATTTATTTTGTAATTTTGACTACACCATGGTGCTAAATAATATCCAATTAGCTTAAGAAGTTTTTATGCTATAATTTAATATAATAAAAAAAAAAAAATATTGATATAATAATTTTTTTAAAGAGATATTTAATTAATAATTTAAATTTAATACTTATTTTATTATTAAATTTAATATTATATATATATATATATATATATATATATATATATATATATATTTAAAAAATATATACCTTATAGAAATTAAAAGCAATTTCAGTTGAAGGTTTGTTACATACATATAATATTATTCAACAGAGGTTTTGTATTTTTGAAATTAATAATTTTACTAATAAATATACAACTTTTTTATACGAATTTTTTAAAAATAATTTTTATCATGAAATAATTAATTTATAATTATAAAAATTAAATAATAAATAAAATCAAAATATAATTAAGATTTTGGTATTAAGGTTTTGATGTATATATATTTTAGAATAAATTAATAAATTAAAAAATATTATTAAATTTTTAAAAATTAAATTTTTATTTATTATTAATTAGAAATTTCAATTTAAGTTTTTATAAAATATTTTTAATTATTTCAAAACTTAAAATAAATTTTAAAATTTGTATTAATATGATAAAAGTATATATTTTTATCTTTACTTAAGTCACCTTTGAAATTTTAGAAATAATATTTTAGAACCAAATCACATATATATTTTATATTCAACCTTATTTTATTTATTAAATTATTTTTGATGCATTTTTATTTAATTTAGCTACTTAGCTGAAGACTAGAAACTTAATTTTTAAAATTCTTTTCTAAGGATTCACGATAACACTATTTCATTATGTTTTAATTATCCATATTGGTGTTTCTATATCCTTATGCTAATATTAAAATAATCTCAAACATGATTTGGTTACATTTTTTTTCTTTTTTTAAACTATGCCATTTTTTTTAGTTTATAAAACACCATTTAACTTAATTTATTAGTGCTAGATATAGTTAAAATTATTTTTCAATTTTCTTGCTAAATATTACAATAAAATTTATCTTGATTACTATTTCATTGCAGTTTTTTCAACTCATTGTACATAGAAGTGTGATTTTTATTATTATTATTATTATTATTATTATTTTTTAATCTTATCATTGTTTTAAGATAGATAGATCTTTCATGACATATAAATTTGTATGTGTTTTATGTCATTTATGTCAATATATTTTCGAAATTTTATTTAATTAATAAATATTTATATTTTAAATTAAAATATATCACATATTTATTTTTAGAATAAAATATATTTTAATATAAAATTTATATATTTAAAAATATTTATAATGTATTAACATTTATGTTTGAAACTTCTATTAACTTTTTATTTTATTGATTTAAAATTATTTAATTCATGTACGACAAGTTAAACTGTGCTCATATTCTATATATTATATTCATATATCAAAATTAATAATAGTTGGCATATACACATGAATGTATATATGTAGATCACAATTATTCAACAATCCTTCCTTCTTGATTGATTGATTGATTCCCCAACATTCTCCAATTACCACACAACACAGATACTTACCTTTCTTCTTGTTCTTACCCAATTTATAATCCCACTTTTATATTATTGTTGTTGTTGTTATTATTATTATTATTATTATTGTGCATCACTTCTACTATGTTTTTTAATACACACATATATACATACATATATTTTCAACAAAAATTATAACATGTATTATCTTATGTTTAAAACTAAAACCTAACAAGGGTTCCAAAATATCTTACAAGGGCTTAAACTAACTTTAATAGATATAAATAGATATATATATATATATATATATATGTTAAGACTTATAAGTATATAAATTGGTGAGAGTAGGGTCTTAATTTTATAATTTGACAACCTAATTTGCTTAAGTTAGATATATGATTCTACATGTGTCTGATTTTTACAAAAGTTATTACATTATTTTTTGTTATTTTTGGCATGAGTATCAATCTAACATTCAATAATCTAGATAACTATCTAGCTTGACCTAATAACCCAATTCAACAAATGTGCAAATGTCTCTAATGACAAGATTTGAATCAAACTGTACCACTTCATTAATTTCTGATTGTTTTATAACTATCTACAAAAGTAAAATTAAATTTATTGTATTTCACTTGTTTTATTTATTTTTAATATTTTTTTATCTTTAAGTATAAAATATTTTTTGTAAGATATATTCACTTTAAAAATATGATTTTTTGAATCTGTAAAGTCTCAATAATATCTTATTTAATTTAATACATCTTAAAACAAAAAATGAATAAATAGAATTTTAAATTAAATACTGGAATATGCCATGTTCTATGAAGATTTTTAAAATATATGAAAAAATCGAATGATTGTTGTCTTGCATACTAATTTGTGTTGAAGAAAATTAATGATCATAGATGTGGTATTTAGTTATAATTTTTATAAAAATAAAAAAAAAATAATTAAAAAGGTTGATTACTAAATAGGTTTTTCTTCCAATTTTTTTTCTTGTCCTATAATTAAAAAAGAAAAGAAAAGAAAAGAAGATTCAAGTTTATTTTAATAAATCAGAAAGTTGCACAATTATAACAAAGTTGAATTATATTGCAAAAAAGAAGTCATTTAACTCAAAATATTATGAACAATAAATTTATTTTTATATATTTTGAGTAAATATTTTGTATATAACTATTCATACAAGTATTTTGTATATCTTTGAAATTGAAATGCAAAGAATAGTTTTTTTTGTTATAATACTGCAAAATTATTATAAATATATAAAGATTTATTTTTCATATATATAAAATTTATAATTACACCACAAACCAAATTAAACCAAATTATTGTTATTTCTATAAAGTTAAATTAATGCAATTTTTTTTCTTCTCGTTTTTCCGTTTTTTTTCATTTGTTTATTTAGTTCTTGTGTAATATTAAAGATTTATTCTTGAGTGATATTTGGGTACATTACTAATATTGTGATTTATTGTTGTATCATATATTGTTACACATCAATGACTTGCTTTAACGTATTACTCCAAAGCAAGGCAATGACCCTAATGTTAGGATACACTAAAATAATAAGGGCTTTGATTACATGTGCATATGAGTTGTCTGGGCTCAAGTTGAGAGAACTTGATGTTTTTCTGAAAGTCACCGCTTATTATTCTCATGTTCAAAACGATAGTTGTATGATAAATTTCATTCTGGTTGCGAAGTTAATGAATTTCTCCAGAACCAAATTGTACAGCACAGTTCAATCCATCCCAAAGATAGCGCAATTGCAGAAGTGGCACACTGCTACCAAACAACTGCTACTTAAGTGTCAAAACATCCAGGTGAGAAAAGGCTACATTTCTGTATGTAACAGCAACAAACCATCAGATCTTGATACTCAGTAACTACAAGCAATGAAGTATGAAGACTGACATCGAAGTTGTGCCAAAATATCCATAAATCGGTTTCGTCTTTAGGTCAGCTTCCCATCAAGAGAAGGTTGAGGAAGACCTGGAGGTTTATCAACTCTCACTGTAAGCTTGAGCCTCGAAGATTTGTGATTAACAAATGAAAATTATGAACTGCCGCATCCTCCTATTCTCCCCGCTGTACCATTGAGCTGTGTTGCGTGAAGCCATGCGTATCCTTGCTCTACAAAATGGTCCGTTTATAAATACAAAGGAAGAAACTTTATACTCTATTGAAATCCACGCTTTGAATACTGAAAGGCTTGGACATCACGGTTAGGACGTTCCCGACACTCCACAGATGCTGACATTCGGTATGAGCTCACGTGCGTCGTTTGAAGATGAAAAGAGAGCCTCTAGAACCCCTCCCTATCCTCACAACCTCATCGAGGTACAGGATTGCCAGTTTGACATTACTGTTGCCTCCGTACTGCGTCTTAAACGACCCCAACATCACTTGAGGAGGCTCGAACACTACCTCTACCCACTTCTGGTCTAAAACTGTCAGTTTACCTGCATATTTCCAAGTAAAACTGGCCAATGTAAGAGGAAAGGAATATGTATATATGTATGTATATATAAGCGAGGTTCTTTCCTGCTGTGAATGGAAAGAAATTATGGAGGGTTGGTAAAAACAGTGTATGATAGAGATATATGTATATGTGTATATATATATATATATATATATATATATTCAAGGCAGGTTCAGGTACCTTGCAAGGTTACTTTCCCTTCGACAAGGCCAAAGGCAGCGAAGGCAACCTTGTTAGAGATGAGATCAGGGGCATTGATGCTCTGCACCATATCCCGGGTCTTCAGCAATGCACGGCCCAGCATGCTGCGGTAGTATCCACCCGGTGCTGTTGGATTGCTGCTATATGCCACCTCCCAATCTGACTCCACCAATTCATTTGCATAAATACAGATTCAAACCTTCATGACTCATGCGTGTCAAAGCAGTCTGACCATACCCATAGTTCCAAATTAGCAAGCCATATTTCTTGCTTGCGGTAGGAAACCGGAATTGCAGCGTACAGCGCTGAGGAGAATACTTTACCTCCAAATAGCAAGGGACTGGATAGAGGTTCCGGAATGCACTGGGTCTCCAACTTGGCAACAATTTCGTTGATCGCGCACTTCTCTGGCTCGCCAATTTGCGTTCCCCTGTCAGTACCCTCGACCTGCGCATGCTCCCACGTACGTCCATGACTGCATATCGTCGTGTAAAGGCTGTTCGCATACCCGTTGGCGAGGACATTACCAGCAACATTGTGTATGGATTACCCAATTCCCCTAGGCGAAGGAGGGTTTTACATTCATAAGCATATCTATATAACTGGAGATCCTCCAACCAAAATTTAGTTTGTGGGGGGAGCTATTCATCCACTCAACTAGTTCATTCGTTTTTAAGAAATTGCCGCACCTGGATTAAGTGGAAGAGATACTTCCCATCTCAAAATTATGCATAAAAAATGACAGGATTAGGGAGATGAGCATACCAAAGAAAGCAGCTGTTCAACAAGAACAGATGCCGGGGCATTCACATCCACAGCAACCCCTTCCGCCGCAGCAGCTGCCACCAACGACCTACCCCTTCGAGCTCCAGAGTTAGCAACCCCGGGCTTTACCCTACTCCATTCCTTCTTCGACGACACCGTATCCGAACACACAACCCTCGCGACCTTGCAAGGACCCGACTGTCGACCATATCCACCAAGAGAGGGACGAGCCGACGCAGAATTCAAAGCGCACCCCAGCTTGAATGCGCTGCAAGAGAGGGTCGGGGAGACTACCATTGCGAATCCTTCTTTGGTTCTCGTCAGAGAAGAGACCTGAGGATTCTCTACACCTCCCAGCGGTCCTAGCTAAACCCTACAACTACTATGATGACGATGTCGATGACGATGGCGAAGACTGTAATTGCGAAAGCTTTTGCGATGATAGTGTAGCAAATCCCGAGACCTTTCAGTGTGAGAGATTGCAAGAGCTGTGGGAATGTGGCATGTCACCTCACCGCCCAGTCGGATAGGGCTGCACTCTATCACTAGCTCATTGGTTCATGACGGTGTCAGTTATTAGTTTTGTGTTTTTGGCATCATTCATCATTTGGCAGCATTTTCTTAGCTGGATGCGGAATTTCATTGAATCCACTCAGTTTCTGGTCACTTTTTGCTCAACATGTTTGCTTGTTTGAGTGGTTGATTGGTTGGCTGACCAGTTGCTTTTGTTGTGGGGATTTGACAAAGAAGATGTTGTCTAATGAGTCTCTGGAGAAAATTAGTGTTGGTTGATTGAGAAACTATTGAATGAATAAGCAATTGATTCTCCTCGTAGAAGTAGATTTCGTTTCTGCTTACAACTTGTATTATTGATTAGTACTTTTCAGGTTAAAACAAGAGTAAATGGCTTATTTGGAGTGAAGAATAGGATGACGGTAACAGTTCTCCTTCTCTATGTCCTTTCTATGTTTGGCATCTTAACCCCGTCGAAGTCGGGCCCTCTCGCGCTTCTGCACTTACGGTTACAAGATTTTGGTAGTGCCTTCCTTGAAGAAATTTTGTATTTCATGTCACAATATGGAATGTGTATATTGAAATCGGTAAAGGTCATCTGACCTTTGTTGGGCTTGTTGACCAGGTGAATATTACCGCTGACCACAGAATCATCAACGGTGGAGACCTTGCTGTATTTTTGCAAACATTTACAGCAATCACTGAGAACCCTACCGAACTTACCATGTGATTTTTCTAAAAAAAACGCGACCTCTGCGATGAACCAAGAGCTACTGCTGAAGTGCACAGCTATTGTGTAGTGTATTGTTGGAACCTCATTCCGTCTCCAGTCTCATCCTGGCCGAAGTTTCAAACTTGGAGAGGTGGGTCAGTCCAGCAGATCCTTAAACGTGCATAGGATTAGCAACCTTCTAAACAGGTTAGTGGTGATTCAATTAGAACAGCTTAGATTATGCTGAGCATAATGAGAATGTACTCAAAGGTATAATTTCAAGGCTGGTAACTATTAGTTTTTTACGTCATCCATTTCTTTTTCCTACATGTGAGAGATCTCTTGGAAGAATTTTGAAATGCGTTTTTTTTGGGTTGAAAACTTTTTGTTCAGAGGAAAGTATAGCTTAATACATTGTTTGAACTTAATTTGGTTAAATCTCATTCAGTCATCAAACACAAAAATAAGAGTACTCAATACTCAACATTACAAAACAAACATTCATGACAGGGTGAATAATGAGTTTCAAATTTGACAACATCCTAAATTCAATTCAATTTTTAGACAAATCATATTCACAAAAAAGAAAAGAAAACTATTGCAATTTTGTATTATTATAAAAAAGTAGTTATCAGTTTATTTATCCCTACTTTGAATATAAATTTGATAAAATTTTGTAAGAACTTATTTTCATACTTAGATGTGCTGCTATACATTATTACATAGTGTTCTGTGTGAATATTAATTAAGTTGAATGTTATTTAAGTTAAATATATATTTTTGAAAAAATAATGAATACTTGAGACAAAATGCATTCAATAACAATTCAGTGGTATTTGTGTCTATTCAATCACATTTTATGCACCATCACATAGAAACTTGTAGAATGCAACTTATTTTATTGATGCTTGTGAATTTGGTGTAATGTTGTAACTAAACACAATCATTCAAATGATACTATGTGTATTTATATTTATTTATACATACGAATTTTTGAATGTGATGGATAGAAAAAATTTACATACAAAATTTGAATGTCATGGACAGAAAATTATAGTCCATTAGAGTATGAATATAAATAAATATATATATATATAAACTATAATAAGATTTGATATTTTAAAATATTTTGTTATTATTATTATTTTTAGCATCTATTAAAATACAAAAAATAAAAATCACACTTTGTGGTATTGTGGTTGTCTTCTCTTAACAAAGTTTTTAGTTGTTTGATTAAAAAAGCACCTTTTGAGAACATAAAATTTAGGATATAAGTTGTGGAGAGGTTAATAGGAGCTAAAGCCATTGAATTATTTATCAAAATAGGTTAATATAGGAAGAATTTGGATAATGATGGTGAATAGAAAGAATATGAAGAAATAAATAGTAGAAATTTTATAAAAGCCTTAAAGAATGCATAAAGACAAATTGAGAAGTCATTACACATTTGAACACTATGGCCTATCAAACTTATACCATGGTATCAACTTAAGTTCTAAGATGGAGTTGCTATAAAAACCAACTTATAATAGATGACAATTAATCAAAAGAAATTCATAGAGGTGATAGGTGATGCCAAAAACAGATGTTATTATGTTGTATCACCACTATATGGTGAAAAAGAAAAATAAAGGTTCACTTATAGAAGAGCCTAATTGAAAAACATAGTAGAAAATATATTGGTTAAAGATAGGAAGGTAGTAAAAATATTTAGTGTTAATATAAAATTTTCAAAAAAAATACTTCTATTTACTTTGTATAACAATAAATAAAGAAAATAAAAAGATAAATAATAAAAGCAACTTTAGAAGGAAATTAAGAGTAGTTTGGAGCAAAAATTGTCTTTGAAAACCAAGAATTGAAATCTAGAGAGGACTGATTGTGAACCAAGGTCAAATTCAAATCTAAGGCACAAAATCATATACCTATGGCAATTGTAGTTTTAGTTTTAGTTTTTTAGTTTTAGTTTTTTAGTTTATTTTATTTTATTTTATTTTATTTTTTAAATAAAATAAAGAGATTAAAAAAAATTTAAGAAGGTTATTTATGCATTGATTTAAGTGATTTGGATATATATTAAGTATTTGAAAGCTTTTCAAAATGAGAGATGTATTCAATGATTTTGGATTTTGAAAAATAAAAAGAAGCTTACATATTTGTAAGTATTATAGTAGATATATGGGTAAAATTTTGTAGATTTTTTAATGAAATTGTGGTAAATATATTTTTTATATTTGAAGTCAATTGAATAGTTATATTGAAGGATATAAGAGTTTTATTGGATTAAAATCTTGGATATTTGAATTTTAGAATTAGTGAGTTTTTTAACAATCTTAAGATATATATATTGATTCAATTAAAGAATTTTTTTGTGAAAGCATAGTTGGCTTAGGTATCTATACTTTTGTTATTATAGAAAATAATTGAATGGTTTTACAAGAAGCATTGGTACTAAAAAATTAACATGTAGATTGAAGAAAGAGAATAGCCGACAAGCAAGAGTAGTAAGAGCTCTTTCTCTTAATTGATAAGTTTATTTTTTAAAAAAAATTATATAATTTTTTTTTCTTAAGGATTAAAATTTGAAAAAAAATTTAGTCAAAATCATTGACTCAATTTATAATTACTGAGATTTTAAAATAGCTATAGAAATTTTATTAGGATTTAGATAGGATTCAATTACGATTTTTTAGGAGATTTTAGGATTTTATTAGTGTTTTATTAGGAATTTATTAAGATTTTGTTAAAATTTATTTATTATTTATTTAAGATTTTTTCAAGATTTATTTATAATTTATAATTTTAATATTTATTTAAGAATTTATTTTTAATTATCTAATTTTTAAAATTTTTAGAAATTTTATTTTTTTATTTTTATTATTCTTTAAAATATTTATTTATATTTTCTTTAGGTTTTTATTAATTTTTTAATATATTTTTTAAAAATTCTTTAAGATTTCTTTTTATTTCTTTTATAATTGTTTTTAGACTTCTTTTCAATTTTATTAAGATTTGATTAGGATTTTAAAGACTTAATTAGAATTTGTATAAGATTCTATTGGAGTTGTTAAGGCGTGATTATTGCAATTTCCAATTTATCTTTGATAGCTAAGTACTTGGTACATTCTCAAGCAAGACTTCACATAATACAATGTGCAACCTCAAGGTTCAAAAGACTTATATACAACTTAATTAAGATAACAAACATTGGAATATGATTAGATATTAAGGTCTTATTTGTTCTATTATATGTATTGAGATAAATAATGAAGTAATTTCTTCAAATTGAATTTTCTATTCTAACCACTACTTCATTCAAAATTAATTCACTTATCATGTATTTATCTCTAAACCACTACAATATAATATAGAAGTGGCAACACTCTAAGGTGACAAGATCCTAATATAGTGTTGTTTTCTTTATATCATTAGTCGGATTTTTGAGGCTCATTTTTTTCAACTTTATAAGGATTATTAGTTACCTATCTATTGTATCAATCTTCTTGTGATTGCTCATTTTACTTATTCTGGAAGAAACCTCCCAGAATAAACCCGTATAGGGAGATTTGAACACGGGGAATGACTAGTTGCTTAAGCGTTCACGTTACGGTCACACAATCAATTACCTCCTGAATGTATCGTCTCTATTTCCAATATCTGAACACACAAGGAAACTATAATTTCCTCCTTTACCTTATTGGTCTCTTCCTTATAGCAATTCAGTCATACCAATAACTACTATTTCTACCAATATATTCACCCTCATAATCTCCAACTGTAATACTGCCCCCTTACAGCTTTCATCACACAATTACCCTCGTTCCAATCACTCAAATTCTTCATACAGAACTGCCATTCACATTACAGTGTTTCACACAAACACAAACTCATTATCTCTACTGAACTACAATCAGATTTCAGCATTCAATCTTTCTTCTTCTCAAATAATACCAATCACATTTCCATTCCATAATTCACTTCACAATATTCAGAAACTCTCAAGCCTCTTATTCAAAGAAAATAACAAACAAAAGAAAAGAGGTAGCACCAAGCTTACCCCGGCTCACACTATCACAGCGATGGCACCTTAATTAACTTCTACAAGTCCTATATACTTTCCCTTGATTCTCCAAATTCTAACCATAATTTTATAATTAACCACTTTTAATAACTAAATCACTCATTCGTCATCCTGAATTTCCTATTATATGGACTATTAATATATTTTATCAATATCTTT